CGTGGATACAGCACGCAGAGGTGTGAACTGGCGGTGCCGATAGGGCTGCTTTTCACCAGACCGCTCTTAAATCCTCCGGTGATGCTTTCAGAGGCGTCCGGACTGCAGAAACAGCGCGGAGGCAGAGGGACATCCATTCTCTCGAAAATCCTTACCTAAAGGTCGCACTCCTTTCAGATCAAAGAAAACACCGTCACAGCTTTATCAGTCGCACTCCGGGGCCCTGTGGGCTTCCTAGTCAGCCCCTGCGTCAAGAAAAAAATATCCTCCGCTAACCTCAAGACAGGTCACGGTGTTTTCCTCATGGGTGCCGCCATCTTTGTTTGGGGAAGAGTTACCCGAGAGCGGGGGTGGGAGTTGGGGGCATGGAGCCTGCGCAGTTGGGGAGCGACCCTCCCCTCCCTCGCGTCGCGGAGAGCCTGGGCTTGTTTGTTTTCTGCGCGAGGAACGACGCGCAAGGTGCCCACGGGCCCGCAGGGTGAAGGGGAGGGTGCCACGATCCTCTGGTGCGTGTTTTTTGGGGGAAATACATAAATATTTGGGGGGCAAGAACACGTGCGTGTGTGTGTGAGAGAGGGAGAGACTTTCCACGCTAGGATTCCTCCCTCCCTCTCTCTCTCTCGTCTCCCAGACAGCGCAGAACATTCCCGAACAGCATCCTGGGAATGCGAGATTCCATCTTGGCTGGGCTAAATAAATAAATAATTTCGGAAAAAAAAAACGAGGGACAGACAGCGCTCGTGTGTGTATGTGTACCCCCTCCCACCAGACACACAACACTCACACACCGCCCCCCCGGCCTCTTTGACCGAGAAATCCCCGGACTCGTATTGACAGGATCGATCCCGATCCGCCGATGCCGGCCTCTGCTTTTTTTCAAATGCGGGTCGCGCCGGTGCCGTGAGTGTGAGGCGAGAGAGAGATAGAGAGAGAGAGAGGGGGAGACGACGAGGACACGGGCCCGGTTCGGAGATGGAAGCCCGGATCGGGACTCCGGGAGCGGGCGAGAGACACGGCGGAGACCGCTAAGCGCCGGAGGAGGAGGAGGAGGAGGGGAGATCCATTTCGGGGCTGCTCGACAGCGCGGCCGCCATTTTGTTTCGCTGCTCGTTTTCGCTGCCTTTTCTGTGCCCCCAATCAGCGTTTTCAGTTTCTTTGGGGGGGTGTGTGTGTATGTGTATGCGTGGTGGTGACTTTCGCTGTTGTCGGTGGGGGTTTTGTTGTCCCCCCCCCCCCCCACCCTCTCCTGGTTTGGGTGAGTTTTGCCTTTTC